TTCTCTTCTGTTTTATCCTTGGACTTTCACTATGTTCTGCACACCTTGTTTCCCCAAACCACTAACATCTTCCTACTCTAAAACTCTGATTCTGCTGTTACAGCATTCCACAGGTTAGTTCCTAGGCAATCATTCTCAGCACTGTTAGATGTGCAAACATGATTCACAAGATAAACCCAGAGATATCAAACAGGAATCCATGGTATTAAAAACATTCTGACCCGTCTTTTGGAGGAATTGCTCTATTATTTTTCTGTAGTCAAAAAACAAGTGAAAACTAAGAGCTGATTTTTTTTTTTTCCATGGGCTGCCTCTAGTCTATCAATGAGTATCTCAAATGTAAAAACATTGAGAACCACTGTGTTAGGCTTAGGAACTTCAAAGTTTCCTTCAACATTTTATGCCCCTTTATGCTTTTCAGATCCTTCCTTTGAATATAGTCACACTGCTGTGTTTATGTAAAACTGAGCAAGCAGTATGCAGCAGATCTCTTTAAAATCTACCTTTCCTTTTTGGCTCCCTGTCTTGTCATTCTTGTAGCTAAAGCACTGGACCAAGACTTAATGCCTGGCTTTGTCAGCAATTTCCTCTGCAACCTTAGGTGAATAATTTAATTTTTCCATGCCTCCAGTCGCCATCTGGAAAATTAGATTCAAATATTTTCCTTTTGCCACCCTTTGTCTTGTCTTTTGAGATTGTTATTCAGGGCAGATATGTAAGTATGTCCAACACCTAATATAAAGAAGCCCATATTTTGTTTGTATTCTCTAGGAGTTCCTGTTGATCTAACAGCATTAATAGTTTTTGTTATAATGTGACTTAAGCTACATTGTCTTGATTTCACCAGAGGGGTGCTGACAGGCAGAACATTCCAAACATTCTAACAGAATAAGTAATTTTCTAGAGAATTAGGTGGGTCTAATTTCACAGAGGTAACCATAAGTATTCTCCATTAACTGTTCCATGGCCATATAAAATATGTCATCTTGCATTTGGTTTAAATAGCAACCCTTGTTTAGTAAATCCAAGCTGCTTCTGGGTTTAGCATTAATAAATAGCTCAGAAACAGCTCTAATTAAAAAAAAACCAAGAGAAATCTGACCTGATAATTAGTTGGCCTTCCCTTCCCCTCCTTCCCCCATACTTAGCCATGGTACTTCATGTTCATAGAAAGGAGATTAAAAGTACTGTGCCCAAATTTGTAGAGCCTTTATGTTGTAGAGCCCAACCTGGGGTTTAAATTCCTCACTGCACAAAATTATCCCTTGGGGAAAGTGGTACCTTTCTCCATGCCACAGTGGTGAGGCTGGATTCTTTCTGACTGAGAGCTGCAAGAAGAAGACTGAAGAGTCTATGTAGAGGGGAACTATCTGTCTTAGCTATCTTAAATCTGGTAGTTGGAAAGAATGTATAAAGACAGATAAGTATTCTTCTCTTCAGTGCTAGATCTACCAGCTTGAGTTTAGCATGTGTGGTCTTTAAAGGCATGACATATTAAATGAAAGGCAGAAGAGAAGGCAGGGCACATTATAAGCTAATACACTCAGGGCACATCTACACATGTGTCTTTTAGGTGGGCTTAGCCTAAAATCACCTTTTTTAAGGAGCATTAAGGATATGTGTCTACATGTGCACACCATTAATGCTCCTTAAAAATGGTGATTTAAGGCTATGTTAAGGTGTAAATAGTGAAGTCTCATTAACACATGTGTAGATGTGCTAATGCGCATTAATACAGTGTGCATCAATGGATACACACCACATTAATGCACATTAGCATTTCTTCAGGTGTGCTAATGCAACTTAGCTATTTGTGCCTAAATTTAATGCACTTTAAAGCGCATTAGCAAGTCCATATATAGATGTTCACCTAAATTGCCTCAATGTGCCCTAAGTAAGGATGCATTATGTGTAGGCATGTATAAATAAATGGGTAGATGTGCCTTCAGAGAGGTATATTAAATGTTATTTCATCCATCACCTTTTGAACATTAATTCTATTACATTTATCCACACATCTCCAAAAAGTATTCCTTGAGTAATACCTTTTCATCACAATAAAGCAGAGTAGATGAAATAATCTCTAAATAGTAGTTGATTTTTTAAAATATTGTCTTACAGAACTATGTCAACTGTGTGCAACTGAGCTTAGTGCACAAGGCCTGTACAAGACCCTAGACAGAATGTAATCTTCTCAAAACTGGTTTGGAGGGCTTCACTTATCCTTCTAATTCCACATGGGATGACTTAAATGTCACCTAGAATGAGCAGTAATACCTAGTTCTGTGAGGTGCTGAGAATCCTCCACTACAAATGAAAACACGCTAGCAAGTGTTGAGCAACTTGCTGGATCAGGTTCTATATTACTATGCAAAGGGTCATTTTTTATCAAATTAAAATGAAACAATCTCATATTAAAGATAACTATGGATTAAAATGCTAAACTCAACCTTGTATCTCCTGCTGTAACAAGGCCAATCTAATTTTCTGCTGATAAGATAAACCACAGGACACATTTAAGGAAATTCTTTACTGTGAAATTGAAACTTCAGTCTTTCACATGATTTGCATATGATTTATGATTTAACTGGTCTTAACATTCAATGCATTTAGTGATCCTGATAAAGAATTTGAGAAAAAATTCCCTCCAACACTTCAAAGAAAATATAGTTTATGATGCAATATATTTACCTGACACTATTTATAAGTTCTACTAGAAATTATGCCTGGTAGTTTTGTCAGAGTCTTGTCCCTGAAGTTTTTAGAAGCAGTTAGACAAACACTTAGCTGGGATTATCTATTCGTGGATGATATTTCCTTGAACAAGGAGCTGGACTAAACAACCTCCTGAGGTCCCTTACAGCCCCTTCACTCCTTCCAACTGTTTATAATTTCTATGATTCTATGATATTCCAGTGGTCATAGGTGATTTAATGTTGCTAAAATCTTATAGCATTTTGCCTTTTGAAACTGCAAGGAAAGTAAAACTCAATGTTTCATCTAACTTTGTATTTTGTTGATTAATGAAGTTCTAACTAGCTCATCCTTCATTAAATCTGCCTTAAGTTATGTTGTTACATTTTGTAGCATGGATAGGTGGAAGCAAATATCTATGTAAGGCATTAAATAATCACTACTTCTCTATTTTTACAGTATTAGCAGTATCTTTTTCAAGCTCATTTACTTCTCAGACCACTGACTGCCTTCAGGTGAGAGAGCAATGTATAAATGCTGCTAATGGATGTGAAAGTGTCTGGAATATAATTGAAGATGTCTGCAACATTTCAGGTAATTGTTACAAAATACATTGCAGTATTTGATTGATGTATATATGATAATGGTTTCTGTCCATATATGTTTAGCTTCTAATACCTAGCTCAGATGTTGCATCACAATGAGACAGGAGTGACAGTATTCAATTCAATGGGGTTCTACAGGTGTAAAACTTAGATGTGAGAGCAGAATAAAAAATGATTGCATAATTAGGGTTGAGCCCCGAGTTCTGAGATCCTTACTCAGGGCAGAAAAAATGCAAAAACATTTTTAATGAGGTTTGTGCAGGTAGAGCTTGGGTCAGAATATGAGCCCCAGTTACCCAGCTGGGAGTTTTGCCTGAACAAGAGCTAAATAATGATTTCAACATTTAGCCCTATATGTTCTAAACTAAGAAAAGTCATCCAGTTAAAAATACCTTCTACAAATTGATATTGTAATAGACCTAGGCAACATCATAGTTTCCTGGAATACTTTGAGAATTAATATTAGAATTTGAAATGAACAAATTATAGTGTCCCTGACAGAACTTTGTAGAACTGACAAAGTTCCTCAGTTAACTAGCACTAACATGTCAGAGTGATTCATTTCCAGGGAATGATAATACAACATATTGCAGGCATTGAACATGACTAATCTCCCTCTGGTTATTCAACAGTTAAGAGATTTTTCACTTGCATGAGAGAAAGGAATCATTTTCTCTGCTGCTGTTTATTACCTTAATGAACAAGATTATTTTTATTAAACAGTTTAATGAAGATAACAATGTTGTTCCATATCTGTATGTTAATATATATATATTACCCATTTTATAGCTGCTCAAAATGTTTGAGAGCTGTACTGCTCTTTGTTCTATATACACTTTTACCTAATAAAATGTGACCTATTTTACCAGGCAATTTAGATCTAGTAAATATCTAAATACTATTATGAATGCACCAGCGAATACAACAGGCCTGAAATACAGCCTTATTCCTTTTATTAAACAAGCCTGACTTTGTTTAGATCAAGAAATTGTTCCCTCCTGTTGGTAATACAGAAACATTCTTCCTTCTCATTCAGATCTCTCCTGAATACTAATTTCTACCATTAGAACTTTAAGGGGCAGATTCTATTCCATCTATTAGGTGCCTAAGAGTGAGTCTATTCTACCATGTTTGAGCCCCTGATAATCCATTTTCTATGTTTGTAATATATTTTCATCTTGGCCTGAAAAACTCATAAAAAAGCAGTGAGCAAGAGGAAAATCTGTGACCTTTTGGTATTAATAGTTTTTCCAGGAATTGAAAAGGATCACATTTAAGTACATAGGTCCATTTAGACACCAAATAGGTGGAATAGAATCTGGCACTAAGGCGACAGTCAAAAAGCTGACAGCTGAATCAATTCTATCTCTGCAGGTTAGTCTAAGCTGCGTAGATTGAACTGATAAACAAGTGAATGTTTACTTTTGACTCTGGAAATACAGCCACATGGCGACAATAGCTTAGGCCACAAACTGGGGTGGGGGGGTGCTAAAGCACGCCTCCCTGCTTGGCTAAAGTAGACAGCTTGGGCCAAAACTAGTATGCCCACCCTGCAAGGGAGGGTTTGCGACAGGAAGTACAAAGCATCTTGGGATGCTGGGGGACTGTGAGTTAACTTGAATCTGTGGGTGGTCTGGGACAGAAATTCAATAAATCAGTTTAACCTAAATCATTTCAGTCTAGTACTACATCCATCCAGGTCTGTCTTAAAAAATGGTTTCAGCCATTTTGAAAGCAGTTTATGTGCACTGAACTTCTGAGCTGGGGACAGACATTCAAAAAGCCTGAGCCTGAACTGATTCAATCTTTGCAGGTTAGTCTAACCTGCCTAGCTTGAACTGGTTTGCGACTGCACAGACATCTTCTTTGGACTGAGGAAATTCAGGCACATGCCTGTAGTGGCTCAGGATAGAAGCTGGGGGGCCCTAAAGCAACCTTCCCTTCCCTTCCAAAGTGCTGAGCTGAGGTGGGTATGACCAGGCCCCAGCAGGACCTCCAGTTAGGGACAGGTATAAACCCCCACCCTGGCCTGTGCAGCCCCAGGCTTTTCTCCGCTTGCTGCTCAAAGGGTGGGAGACCCCAACTCCTGGCTAGCACTCTGAGGCAAAGTGGCTGTGTGCAGTGCATGCATCTGTTGATGATAATGAGCTTTTTGATCTCTCACTCCCTGCTTCTTCATACTGTCTGCAAACCTGACAGGTGAGGGAGCCAGGAGGGGCCTGATAAAAACTGTTATCAGCCCATCAACAAAACAAAAGCCTGTCTCATTGGTTCAAGCTCCTTTTAAACAGCTTTTTCCAAGGAGAAATGGAGAGACATTACCAGAGGACCTGTTGATTAGCTCCAAAAAGCCCTAAGTGGGCACTGTTCTGTCTGCCTGTCCCAGTGAAATTGGAGACATGCACACACAGACACCTCTCAGCATTAGCTAGCACACCACATGCCTGGGGTCCATGAGGCTGTGGTCTGAGCTGTGGGAGATAGGAGGGAGGGAGTGAGGGAGAAAGGAGGTATCCCTGCTCAAGCAGCAAGGGTGGTGTGGGGCAGAGGGAAACAAGGCAGACCCTGCTGTGCCTGCAGTCTCTGACAGAGCTCTGGTTAGGGTACATAGGGTCAAGGCCAACTCTGTTCTCTGGAGCAGAGAACAGAGCCCTGCCCAGGGCTACAAAGCATCTGGGATGCTAGGGGACTCTGGTTTAACTGAAACCTGGAAAAGGTCTGGAACACATTGCATAAACTGGTTTGACCCAAATCAGTTAAATCGGATACTACATTCAACCAGGTTTATCTTAAACCAGTTACAGCCATTTTGAAACTGGTTTATGTGCACTGAACTTGTGTTCTTTTACAGGTTTTAACCAGTTTCTGATCATTTAAACCAGTTTATGTGTAATGTCTGTCCCTAGCCCTGTTGTGTTACAGATTTAAACCAGTTTCCAATCACTGATACCGGTTTATGTGTAACTTCTGTCCCTAGCCCATGTGTAGGGTAGAGGAACATAGAAAAACAGAGATTAAATAGTGCTGTGGTTAATTGGAACAGATTTATTAGTGTGAATTTGAAAACACTGATATTATTAAAAAGGCAAAAATCTAGACCCCTGGAGGATTTTTCTATACTGGTGGGAGCTGGTGTGTCTCTGCTACCGCTTGCACATGCCAAACCCAGAAACATGATGGTAAAACCACTCTGGGGACATCCCCACTATCACTCTTGAGAGAAGCTATAAGGGGATGCTTCTGACTTAGCTTTGCCTCCCCATGTGGCATGTTCACATAGAGCAGGTGATCACAATGTTCTTGGAGTATACCCTAATGGACACATCTGGGCCATAACATAGACATGTCTAAATGGACATTGGGTCATTTGTACCACTTTATCCCTTAAAAACAAACTATTATTCAAAGAGAAGAATGATTTTCCCCACTACTCCTCCATTGCAGGGCTGGGGGCGGGAATCATTTGGGAAGAGTATTACAATCACCTCTTCCCAGTCCCCTTGTGGATACCTTCCTAAAGGTACTCCAGTGTTTGCTTAGGCCTTTCCAAGGGCTCAGAGTACCTTGACACTCTAGTATAACCTCTACAGTTGTACTGCATTGTGAGTCTGTGCTCCTTCTAACTTCTCTTCCCTCCAATAACACAAGGAAATTAGAAATCAAAATGCACTCTAATCATCTTATTGTAATAGGTTGGAGGAGGTTTGAATATTTCATTTCAATAACTTTTTGTTTTGACAATGTCAAAATGTTTCAATATTACACCTTATTTTGTTTTCTCTTTTTTTGATTAGCTGAAAAATTAGGAAATGTCTTCCCCCCTCCCACCACCCCCCTACCAGATTTTTCTGTATTGGCAATAAAGCAAAAAAGGTATTAGACTTTCAGATCTGCATCAAATGTTAAAAAAATATCTTTGCGAACTAGATTCAGAAGTCTACTTTGTCCTTCATCCTTAGTTGGGACCCGTCTTGACAATGGTAGTTTTGCTTGTGAAAAAAGAAGAGATTATGACCTAAAAAGGGATTCATTTCTTTGTCAAAAGTCCGTTTTCCATCAGATGTGGATATGCTGTAGGACGACCTGTAAATTTTACTTTAATAAAAACCTGTATTATTACTGGCTTCCAAGCACAATATAAGAAAGCATTTTGATAAGCATCCTAGTAATATGTATTTTAGCTATATTATTTGCAATCAATCACTAATAAAAGGAACAATAATTGAAAACCAGCAATAAAAGTATTTTCTGCCTATTCATCACATAGCTGAATCAACACTGTGGTACTGATAGCTGTGATACTGAATCACATAGCTAAAACACGCTGATACTGGTAAGAGAACCATATACTGCTGAGTACATGGTCTAACTTTTATACAAACCCCTTTTATCCCTTTTGTGCTGCACAACATAGTAAATTGTTAGGGTAAATCTCTGGCCTCTGTGACTTCATCATTATTATGGTGCAAGATCTACTTAAAACAATATTACAGAAATTCCTCCATGGCTATGTATAACCTAGGAAGTTTTATCAAGTAGCATTTATAACAAAGTACAGCAACTAACTTTGTACTTTCTTTAGAATTCATGCAGTTGGGTTTCTTTCTTCATGAAGCCCATCATCACAGTAGGGGTTATATCAACAAATCATGTGCTGCCTGGAAGTAGGCATCTCATTATGCAATTTATCATCCTGTAATTGTGGACTTTTCTTCCAATGAATTATGGGACACCAACATTCCTCCTAAGGAACTGTGAGATGTCGGAGTCTAGTTCCTATATTTCCTTCTGTTCTGTCTGATAATTTTCTTATTTTAATCCTCTTTCTAAAAAAAAAGTTACCACCACTCCCCTAGTCTGTCCCAAAGATTAACACTTTCAGCATTAGTTTTTCAATCATTTTAACCTGTTAGTAGAAATATCAATATTGGACAGAAAAATTTCATAGATTTCATAGTTGTTAGGAGCTGGAAGAGACCTTAAATATCA